GAAGAATCGCACAAAGTTTATACGACAATTTTGGCATTTATATGAGCTATGTATAGTGCAATCTAAGCATCAATGATGAGCAAGCAAAGTTGAATCTTTGTGCAGACAGACTTGTCTTGGATTTTTGAGGGAAACCTATAAAGCACCTAATTAAGAGAATAATGCATGTTAGCCTCTTTGAGGACCCACTTCAACATTGGCTTTAGTTAAGCCCTATTTATCAAAATTCTTTGATATTCGGGATGAATGTCAAAAGTGTTCTCGATTCGAGTATCATTTCTATCCCAAAATGTAATCAAGTCCCACATATAGAAGTGACAACGCTGAAGGTTTGAAAGTATTATGACTAAATAAAGTAAAATTTTAGGGTGACTTTAATTTCGTATGAAAGTGAATGAAGAAGAGATTCGTTGGTCGATCTCACCAGATGAGGACAGTTGAATCTCGTTCTACTGTAGCCGTTTGGCTTTTATATGATATTCATGTTGACGCAGTCCACGAGACTTCCTCCCTCAATTAAGTCTATATAAGAAGTAAGATAGAGCCGGATAGTTTTCTCGGCCTAGTGTTAACGTAAGACTTTTACAAGAATGAAACCCAGCTCGGATGATGTCCATCGAATGATGGACTAAAGCTCAGCACGTTTTCACCCGAAACGAAGGAGGAGGTCACGTGGACTGCGTCAACATGAATATCAAATAAAAGCCAAAAGGCTACAGTAGAACGAGATTCATCCGTCCTTATCTGGTGAGATCGCTCAACGAATCTCTTCTTCATTCACTTTTATACGAAATGAAAGTCCCCCTAATAATGTTATCCCAAAAGATTCATCAAAACCCAGTTTCGCTTTATATCTATAATTAATGTAATACAATTGAGTAGCAAAATTTCAATCATACGGAGGCGCTCCCACAGATTCCAACGATATTTGCGAAAAAGGTGAATTGGTTTCCAGCTCCACTTTTTAACTATGCACTTCATTTTGTTAAGATAAGCTCATGGTTCAGTTTATTTTGTAAACACGATGAATAAGAAAATATTCAATTTACATACAAGACTCAGAATGGAACTATTATTTTATTCCCAATCTCTCACTAATCATAACTGTAAGAGATATCACTTACTATGAATGCTTATTTGTTCCGTTTGTCTTTCCGCCGCTTAGTTGCAATTCTAAAGATCCATTATCACTAAATTGTGACTCTGAATTCCTTTTGTGCTGATATATGATATTTTAGTTAACGCGTTTTTGCTAATGACTCTTTCCGATTTGGTCTAAATATTTAAGGGATCTATGAGTTAATGTCCATTTTTAGGCCAGGTGTGCTGAACTCTCCCTAATTCTAGACTTTTATCATGTTTCAATATTATTAAAGCGTGGAAAAAAATAATATAGTACTCGCAGCAATATGGTTAAAAAATGCAACAATTGAGACATATCCGGAATTTAACTATTGGGCTGGTTTAATGGCGCCACTGATTTATCTAATTTATGCTTTGCTTGTGAATTAATTTTTCCTGAGCTCACCTTAATTTTTGCGTTATCACGGTCTAGCACAAAAATGTCTCCGGTGGCTTGGTTGACTGCCAGTCCGCTCGGCCAAGTGTCGCGATGGTCGTCAGAAGCACTGGCTTCAAACTCGAGCTCAACTATCGGTTGCGTCAAGGGTTGGCCGCGATCTGTAAATGGCTGACTTATTCGTCCTGGCCGCATCAATCCTGAAACCTCGGGAAACCGGTTAGAATGAGACTGAGTTCTGTCTTCAGGCTGCATAGAAGCCAGTCTATGAAACAAGTCGGGTGGGTGAAAGCAGAGGAGGGGATATGAGTATGCACCAGATAAATGCGCATACGATAAAGCTCGCGGGCCTCTTTGAGAGTCGAGTATTTTCTACTGATCCTGAGACATCTTAATACAATCAAAATAAGATTTTAAACAGCAAAACAGAATGAATTAGGTTACATCAGCAAAAGATTTTTAGATATTCCAACGAATAATCTTAATTAGATATGAAGGTAAGCCTGGTTTCGAAGAATCCTTTGGTAGATTGATCTTGTTACTCTTCCATTTCGTTTAAAAAGACCGATTAAAGGGATTTGTAAATTTGTCTGACTGGATGCCGCAGAATGATTGCCTTGGAGTTGTGACGGCTGAATTGTGAGGAGTGATTGGTTCAAGGTTCTATGGTTCCGATAAATCCGTGCCAAGCTTTCGTCTGTCATGTGAAAGACACCATCAGAGACAAAAAATCATCAGTGTAATGAA